CGAACTCCTGGGGTATTATTCCATTCCCGCATACCGACAGTTGTCGAATCGGTAGGCGTCGTTGCGCAGCTTTTTTATACCGTGGAAAAACTGCGCAACGACACCTACTGATCTGACAACTATCGGAACCACGGTAACGGAATAGCAGCCCTGGGGCCCGATGTTTGATAATGTACGAATGAGATACGCATGCGAACATCTACAGTATACGTAACGTGAACTATACATTTTCGCATGTGTATCTCATTCGCATACCGTCAAGAATTGAACATCTGATCTGCTCCTGTGTTCATCCCTTATAGAAATATCATACTAAAAAATACTAAAAAATTATTAGTCATTAAATATTACCAGTAATTCAGTAATTTTTTGGCCAGTACTTAATTTCTGGTGAATACTGATAATAAAATCACTGTTAAATATTGATAGTAATCAAATACTGAGAATTATTATGCGAAGGTGAAAAATGAGAAAATCATAATGTTTACAAAAATATACTTATATTCCTAATTTTCTCATGTCTCATAAACTACTAGATATCGAAGGTTGTCAACACATTCCAAACTTTTATGAATCCTCCTGCGATAATTTCGATCCCAAGCGGTATACCCCGCTGGCACCCCCATTCATGTCCTGCCGCATTAAACTGTTGCTTAACCTGACGATCGAGCACGCACGCGGTGACTCTGATGACTCCAACGATGTTCTTACAATTCATGCTTATATAATGTATCCTTATAGTGTTCACAGTGTAACGTCCGGATCTATTTTAGAACATTAATAATATATTATTATAGACCGGGAGGCCGACTTGTCTGATTTCAGACATCACTAGATATTTTATCCCTACGTTACTAGATGTAAGTACGTGCGCATATGCATATTCGCGAGCGTTAAAACATTATAATTAAAATGCCGAATGCTGCGTGCTGCTGGAGAGTCTCGAAATCGACGGATCGACCCAAAGAAACCGCTATCGCTCAGTGCGATAAGCCAACATAAACAGGAGCATGAAAACTGAATCCCAAACACCACTCAGGACACCGACGCGGTGACATCATGCAAAGGAATGAATCTCTTCCCTCGCCATAACTCCATGGACCAATCGGAGAACGACTCTCAGCGACAAAGCGACATATAAAA